TTTGTACTATTATGAGAGGCTGAATATTTAGTTGCTATCACTATGCATATGCCATAAGAATATATCATTATTTCAAGTACAATCTTTTACAAGGTAATGATAATGCTTCCAGAGCCTGCTCTGTGACACCATAAGGATGACTCATCTGAAACTCAGGGAGCATCAATTGACAGTGTTTCTAAATATAGAATTAATTGCAACAAAATTTAGAAAACAAGATAATAGAATATTTTGGCTACAGAAATTTGTTTCCTCTATATGAATAAATGTTTGGTTACGCTTAACACAATGGCAATTTTTTATTTGACCCTCCTTAAGGTCATTAGCAATAAATGTTAACGTTTATCTTAAATATTACAGCTTAGATGTATCAAGCTGTGAAAAATATTATATCTTTGTCTTATAAACCCAAGAGGAAAGGGAGCCAGTTTGAATTAGTGGCCCAACCATGTTCCAGAATCCTGAATAATTATCTAAGGGTATTATCTGGGTATTCTCTACCTCATAAACAGAGTCCATGATCAGAGAGCACTTAGCCAAAAGGAGAGAGTAGAAAGAAAAAAAAACAACCACTGGTAACATGTTAAATATAATTTTGCAATTTGGGGAGTAATTTTTCTCCAAATGCCACCTGTGTTCAACCATCACATTATACTGCAAAATTTAGTAGCTTAAAATATCTTAAAGTTTTTGCTAGCCTCATATTAGTTAACATTTTCCTCCTTCAGTTTCAATTGCATTTTTCTTTCTCACAGTTCTAAATAGCAATTCTATGACTGTCTTGTGCATTTTGCATGACATAACAGCATTTCAGTAGTGTTTGCAGTGGGATTACTCAAAAATGAAAAGTAATCATAAATGTAATATAGTATCTCTAAATGATTGGGAATAGAAGCAATTCCCTTTATACTGCAAAAGTACATGTATACGCTAGAGAAAAGCATGCATACACATTTTCAATGTGTAATTTCTTCACTATGCACACAAAAGTATATACTAGCAAATACTTACTCTAGATTATGAAAAGCAAAGTAAGGATGTTTACACTCTAAAATGAGCATTTCATTTAGAAAATGAAACATGACTGCTTACCCAGAACCTAACTCTACTGCAACTATCACAGATTATTTCATGACTGGAAGAAGTTGTCAAATGTAAACAGGTCACTTTTATGTTTTTCTTTATCATTTTCATTTGTACCCCCATAAAAAGCACATTGGGGCCAAGAAAATTAATTCCCTAAAGCTGTCAGCTGGGTTGGGAAACAGCTTACTGTAAAGCCTCCAGCTATAATAAACGGCTGTCAATAGTGAGCGGAGAGTTGGGCTGTGGGAAAACAGGTCCTCTGGAAATGATCATCTGAGAGGGAAACAAGCTGACGTTTCTCCTTCCAGTGTGCTGGGGCAGTGGTTCTCAAAGTGTGGTCCCTGGACTAGCAGCACCAGCATCTCCTAGGGTCTGGTCAGCAATGTAGATGTTCAGGCTGGATCCTAGAGGTACCAAATCAGGACCCCGGGGAGTAAGGCCCAATAACCCAATTTAAGAAACCCTATAGTTGATTCTGAGAGAGCCTGCAATTTGATACTCTCATATTTTAAAAGGCATATCTGTTAAAAAAAAAAAATCCTTTTCTTTTAGAGAAAATACACCAATGCTTGCTATTATTTAAAGCCCTATTGGAATTAATTGTATTGTCCTTCTCTTAACTCTATTAACAATAAACTTTGCTTATTTATGAATAAACATCAAGATATAATCTTGCTTGAAAAAAATGAAAAGAAAATTCCACTCGATCTGTGAATGCTAAGGATACTTCCAAAAACTCATAAAAAATAATCTGTGGACAATTCAAGGACATATCTGTTAAACACAAGGAAAAGAAAAGCTTGGTAAAAAAAAGAGTGGATGAAGAATGTGGCTTACAATTGTTTCACAGGACCTTCGCTGGGTCATACAAGGGAAAACAGGGAGTTTGGTATGTGTTTGTGTATGTTGGGGGGGGGGGGTAATAACAATCAGTGCACTACAAGCAAACTCATGGTTAAAAGTCAGACATTATGTTTCCACTGTATAGATAATACAAATTAATAGTATTTAAGTTTGGTAACCCTTACTCAAGAATCTTGCATTTCACCCGGGCATCAATAAGAGGCATTAGTGAAAGGTGTTCCTGTTTAATAGCAATCTGAGCCTACTCAACTAAAAGACCTTCATAGATTATATGTAACTTTACGAATTTCTTTGAAAGCTTTTGTGGTAGTAATTCTTACTTTTCAAAATCGTCTAGCTTCAGGAGCACATTTAGTATGAAAGCCACCAGTTGAAGTAAACAAATTAAGGAAAAATAATTTTTACCTTTTTGTTTTAAATTGAGTGTCTTCAGATAATAATTATAGAGTTCAATGGAAAAAATTAAAATAGTATATGATTTATGTTCTCATTCATAGAAAATATGCCTTTTCATACTAAAATTGTACATGTTGCTATCATCATCGTCTTTCCTTTCTCCCAATATTCTTTTTCTCCAATATCACAATTTTTCTTTCTCATCATAAAAATGTTTAGAAGGTATAAGCAAAGTCATTACCATAGCTTTTATCATAATAGCAAATTATAGCTACATGTGACCATCAAAATGCCTACAAGGAGAATTACATAGTGACACATGGTCTCAAGAAATGTCTAAATTGCACTTTAGTTCCAGTTAGCAAATTACTCAGCATCCTATTTCAAAGATGACATCATACAAACAAATATTGTTATGGCTAACTTAGGCTCAACAAAAGATCTTTGCCATACTTTGCTAAAATGCACTTAGCATTTATGTCACTGTCCTATAGTTTCAACTTTTGGGGCAAAGTCAGAAAAAGTGGGTCTGTATATTAGTGCTACAAGGAAATGAAAAGAAAGGTGATGTGGGAAGAATATCAATAAGTTTCTTTGGAAAACAAATTTCTGTTTTATATTAAAAGTTTAAATCATGTTAGTTTTTCAACATATTATGCAAATCATGTAGTATCATCAGTTTATTGTAAATGATCTTCATATTAAAAGTCAATACTAAAAAGTAGTTTTCTTTCTTTTCATTAAAATAGTTGTTTTATACTGAAATTCATTTAGTTTCATAAATTACTTTTTCTTACCATGATGAACTATTTACCAACTTTTATAAACCTTCAGTAATCTCAGAAATATTCTGAACTTTAAAACTTCAGCTTCTTTTCTTTTAAAAAGATGATAAATTTAACATGGAAATAAGCCATTCCAACTTCCAGTTATATCTTTCAACTTCACATTCTCACTAGAACTTCTATACTGACTTTTTAATTCTTTTCATTCTATGTATTTAAGCTCCAAGTATACTTTTGAATTGTTTTAGTTTTTTTTTTCTTTCTTCAAGAAATGGAGATTTTAGTTGAATAATTATAGTCAACACATTTAATGATCTAGGAGTATCTATGTGATTCATTGTCAAAATTATTTTTATAAATAAACACAAAATCTTAAAGTGCCTCCAGAGCAGTAAACACTAGAAGATGAGAAGGAAATGGAGTCTCAGTAAGACCTTCTACCCCACCTCACTCCCACTTGGGGGGAAGACTCTTGAATTTCCAATTACTAATTAATGACTGTCAATAAATACTACATTCACATTTATTTTGCTTTACTGTATTTTCTGAAATCTACATATTCCTTATTTTGAACAAATTCAGATGGGCCAGCACCATAGATGGACTCAATACCAACCAAGATCGAACATGGATTGTGAAGTGCTAGAAAGGTAGTGTGGTGAGAGCTAATCACAAAAGAGCAAGCAAACGAACTGAAATGCCAGTTGCTCCAGAGCAACTATCATTAAATAAAAAGGTATCTTTGGCTGTGGTACCAGCGTGATGTCTCCCTCCCCCCCTCCTTGCTACTGCGGGATTGGCACCTGGCCAGAGCAAGCACATGATACCCTACTGCCATCTACAGGCTATTATTGACACTCAAATTCCGTGGCAACAGACAAGCACCAGTGAAATAAATTAGACAGTGCTGCACTTAAGTCTTTATTAACATGGAATTATTAGACTTAAGAAAAACTAATTCTGGATTTGGTTGAAATATGAGTTTCTCAGCCTCTTAATCCCTCTTCCTATGGCATATTTCACAGTTTAAAATGAATTATGACAGATCACTTATGCATTACTAAGATGAGAGAATATTTACAATGGATTCATTCTTTTCTGTATAAATGATTAAATTGGGGAGACAGCATTCCTTCTTTTTATTTTTTTTTTTCCTTTTGCTTTTTTCTTTGCAAGAGTACTTTGGCCATTGTGGACAATCTGCAAATCTTTCTATGCAATACCCAACTTGCTATATTACAAATAAAATCATCTGAAATCAAAAAGAGGACCTATATGGCTTAGTTGCAAACTATCCACAACCATGTGCTTCACAGCTGATGTACATTTAATATTCTACCATCTTGTTTAGAGACTAAAAAAAAAAAAAAAGTTAACCCCTTTAGCAACCACGGCTCCCATATAATCACCGTCAGCCCTTCAAACGTCATTTAACGCTTGAGATTTGAAGGTGACTTTTTAGAGGAAAAGGTAATGTGACAGTGTCGAAGCTGTCAATTTGGGAGCCCCGGAGCAGGAATGTGACATATCAGGACAGGTTTTCTTCTTCAGCCAACGTTATCTTGGGACATTTTAGAATCATTTCCTTTTTTCATCTTTTGCCTTTTGAAGCAAACTGGGAAGTTAAATAATTCTCAGAACTCAGAGAAAATTTCAAAGCTGTTCTAAAAAAAAAATTCTTGACTGAGCGAGCCTCAGAGGAAGAGAAAAAGGGGTCAAGTTTTTTTTTTTTTTTCTTTTTTCTTTTTTCCCTCCTCTTTATCACTATGCTAAAAGTTGGACCAACACAACAGACACCCTGGCACATCAGTACTGGTTGACTGGGCACTTGTATGCAGTACTTATAGACCAGTAAAAGTGCTCGTTTACCTGTCTGGTGTGTAAGGGGCCCTTTGTCTTGAAGCCTCCTTGGGAGCTGCACTCCGAGGCACTGAAGTGATCTGAGCTAGTGGAGGAGCGTTTGGAAAGCGTGTCGCAGCCCCCGCCGACGAAGGTGTTGTCCAGGGGGAGCTCCTGGATCACGTGGTGCTTCTTGCCGGACAGCGGGGTGTCGGGCTTGAGGTGGAAGGCGGGCTGCGGGGAGGCGGACTTGTAGTGCTTGGCCAGGTCCGGGCTGCCGGGCTTGAAGGTGGTGGTGGGCGGCGCGGGGCCCCAGTCGAAGCGGCCCAGGCCCTGCTCCTCCAGCTCGGCGGCGGGCAGGCTGCTGATGGTCCCGTTGATGGGCTGGTGCGCTGCGGCGTCGTCGTCGTCATCGTCGCAGCGCTTGGACTCGTCGATGGTGACAAAGTTCAGCAGGGAGCTCTTGGGGGACCTCCTCTTCTTCCTCTTCTTCTTCTTGCCCTGCTTGCCCCCGTCCTGGTTGGGGGACATCCACTCGGCGGCGGCGCCCCCCTGCTTGCCCCGCTGCTGCGCCGCCTTGAAGCGGGACGCGTGGCGGCAGCGCACCAGCACGGTCACGAAGATGACCGCCAGCACCACCATGGCCCCGGCCACCACGGCGATCAGGATGGTGAGGTAGTCCTCGTTCTGGTAGGGCTGGCTGCTGTCCCCGATGTTCCTGTCCAGGGGCGTCTCCAGGGTCCTGCGGATGAGGTCGTGGATGTGGGAGGCGTTCCCGGCCGTGTCGTTGACATAAAGGAAGACGAGCACGAGCGTGTGCAGGGCCCGGGGGTAGCCCAGGTCGCTGATGTTCACCACCAGGCGGTGCAGCCCCACGTCGCCCGCGGAGGGCTTCTCCTCCAGCGTGATGTTGCCCGTGACCGGGTCGATGCGGAAGAGGCCCTTGCCGTTGCCGCTCACGATGGTGTACTTGAGCTCGGCGTTCATGCCCGTGTCGATGTCCACGGCGAACACCTCGGCCACCACGGAGCCCGGGATGGCGGACAGCGGCACCAGCCGGAAGGACGTGTTGGACGGCGGCGAGATGACCACGGGGCTGTTGTCGTTCACGTCCATCACGTTGATGGTGACCTTGGCCGTGGAGGAGCGCGCCGGCTGCCCGCCGTCCGTGGCCTTCACGTCGAAGGTGTAGGAGCTCTGCTGCTCGCGGTCGAACGACACGTTGGACCGGATGACGCCCGAGGCGGGGTCCAGCACGAAGTTGTCGTGGTCGTGCAGGATGGAGAGGGTCACGGCCTTGTTGTCGCCCGCGTCGGCGTCCGTCACGGTGATCACGCCCACCGTGCTGTACTTGGGCAGGTTCTCCGACACGAAGAACTGGAAGTGGTTGTGCGTGAACTTGGGGCTGTTGTCGTTCTCGTCCAGCACCGTGACGATGACGGCCGCCTGGCTCTGCAGCGGCGGCGTCCCGTTATCCCGGGCCGTGACCGTGAAGATGAAGCGCTCCTGCTCCTCCCGGTCGAAGACCCTGGAGGCGGTCAGGACCCCCGTCTTGCGGTCCAGGTCAAAGAAGGAGGCGTTGGGGCCCAGCTGGTACACGATGTCTGCGTTCTTCCCGCTGTCCTCGTCGGTGGCGCTGATGGTGGTTAGGTAGAGCCCGCGCCGGTTGTTCTCCGAGACGGACAGCTCGATGACAGGCTGGCTGAAAACGGGTGGGTTGTCATTCTCGTCCTCCAGCTTGACCCTCACCAGGGCCGTCTGGTTCAGACTGGGCTTCCCCGAGTCCGAGGCCACGATCTTAAAGCTGAATTCTTTGGTGCCCTCGTAGTCCAGCAGGGAGGAGGTCTCCAGCAGGTACTGGTTGTCGTACACGGCCTTCAGGTGGAACGGGACCTCCCTCTCGATGAAGCAGATCACTTTGCCGTTCACGTCCGTGTCCTTGTCGGAGACGGTGATCAGGGCAATCTTGGTGTTGACGGGGTCTTTCTCGGACAGGTACACCGTGCCGTTGATGGGGCTTATGATGTACCTGAGGTCTATGTTGGGAGGGTTGTCGTTGACGTCGGTCACGTTGATGGTGACGGTGGCTCGGGCGGGCGTGGAGCTGCCGTCACTGGCCAGCACTGTCACTTTGTGGATGGCCGTCTCCTCTCGATCTAAGGGCCTCTGGACGGTGATGAGCCCCGTGGTGTTGTTTAAAGCAAAGAGTCTTTTGGTAGCAGGGGCGACCTGGGCACCAAAAATGTACCGGATTTCAGCGTTGCTGCCTATGTCTGCGTCCGTGGCATGGAGCTGAATCACAGAGGTGCCCACGGGAGCATTCTCTGGGATGTGGACCTCCACCTGACCCTCCTTAAACACCGGCCTGTTGTCGTTCACATCACTCACTGTGACCTGCAGGATGGCCGTGCTGGACTTCTGGGGGGTGCCCCCATCCTCCACCTTGATTTTCATCACATAAGTATCTTTCTGTTCTCTGTCCAAGTTTTGCTGAACAATCAATTGCGGCCACTTCTCCCCCTCCGGAGTTTCCACAATATCCAGTCCAAACACACTCTGCCCATTTAGCAATTCGTAATGCTGAACCCCATTGAAGCCTGTGTCGGGATCTGTGGCCGATGGGATTGGAAAGCGGCTGTTGATCAAAGTGTTTTCTGGAATCGAGATATTGATGACCGGGGATGGAAACATGGGGGCGTTGTCATTGGTATCCTTCACAATTATTTTTATTTTGATCAGCCTGAAAAAATCGTTGGGGAGGATCACCACCTCAAGTTCAAAGAAACACTCATTCTCCTCAGCATAGGAGGCGCCCGCGCAGAGCTTCTCTCTGTCTATTCTGTTGGAGGTTGTGAAAATCTCCCCAGTGCTGCTGGACACTTTCACCAAAGGGGCATCCCCAGCTTTAGAAACCAGTCTGTAGACAAGGCTGGCGCTGGTCCCCGTGGCAGCATTGATGTGAGAAATGTTCAGGTCCTTTGGTATGTTTCCTATGGGCACATTTTCAGGCAATTCCTCTCTAATCGTGTAAATAAGTTCTTGAGCTATTGCGGAATCCAGCCTTAAACAGGCAATCAGAGCAGCCAACAGGTAAAAATCCCTCAGGTCCATGATAATGTATTTATTTTCCTTTCCCAAATGCTAGGGCTTAAAGGTTCCCACTGAGGAAGGGTGCACGGCTTGCAAGAGGAAGCGTGCATAGGCTGGAGGATGCATTACATCTCATCGCTTATTTGGAGACAGCCACTGTCAACACAATTGTACAGACAACATTATTCTCCGGCACACAGGAACACACAGTCACGCAACATTACAGCACATTTTCCACTGCATATTGGTAAACATGGCAGTTTGCTCTGCCCCTGTTCGCAAGTTAACTCTGTGGGTGAACACACTCAATGTCCCCTGCTTGTTGCATCTGGCCAGAGAAAAATAAAACCTTCTACTTTTGAATTCAGGGCAGCTGCTATTTTTACCTGTAGTCACCCACACTGTTTTTCAGAACACAGTTTAATTCAAAACACGCATTCTTGAATTCTTGTTCTCCTCCCCTCCCCCTGGCTTACCTGCCTTCTGGTTTCTCACCCAACTCCCTTAATTGTTGGTTATTATTTTATTATTTTATTTTTAGGTGGGAGTGAAAATCACTAAGTATTTAGCTGTGCTTCCTGCTAACTGCTTTGTCACATGTCAACTGTGATGAGTTTTCTTCTCTGCCACACTGAGTCATCTCTCTTCTCTCTCTCTTTTTTTTTCTTTATTTCTTTCTAAAAGGACTATGCCTTTCTTTCTCCCCAGTTCTTCAACTGCCTTCTCACACAATCTTCCTGGGAAACAAGCATCGGACATGCTGCAGCATCAGCAGCAATAGTCGCCGGCCACTACAGATCCGTATTGCCTAAAAGCACAACACCAAGACTCCAAATGTCTTATCCAGACCTTGCTCTCATTTCTCCATGTTGCCACATCAACCCCATTAGCATTAATAAACACATGAAAAACTTTACAAAATAATAAATATGAGATTTCTTATCCTAGAGGTGAAAGAGAGTGTCAAGGTGTATGTGAAACGCAGCAATATTTCCATGTAACGGCACAATATTTTCTACAGAGCCTAACAGAGGGGGTGGGGGGAATGCAGTTTCTTAACCCTGACCTGTTATAATATTAGTAACATCTGCCACACATCAATACTGCAACCCAATAATGCAGGTTAAAAGGCTGCTGCTTAGATGCTCCCCTAACTGCAATTGAAACGGGTGCAAGGCTCCAGACAGCCACCCACTAGAGTAAAACCGGTCAGTTTCCAGGCTCTGATCTCATCTGCATTAGCGGCACGGTAGCTGATGCCCGTGATTAGTTCCGGCAGGGTGGTGCAGGTAGGGATGCAGATACAGCCTGGTAGGTGAGTTCTGCCCCAGCCTTCTACCCAATTACAAACATCCCCCCCATCTGCACCGAGGACATATCTAAACACAAGCATTTACAATCGTGCATGCGAAACTTTACACTTACGTTAGTTGCCTCAACCTTTCCCCTTCCCCGGTATACTGCTGCAGTTAGGAACGCTCTGTTCCCACACATAGAAAGCCATGCATCTGGTAAGCACCAGTTTGGGGGAGGAATCAGGAGCAGCCAAACGCTTCCTCCCGGTGAAATGTGTTGCTTCTTCGGGCTGGCAAATTAGCAACTCCGGAGAACAAATGCACAGATTTGTCGCTATTCTCCCCACATTCCGTCCCCTCGATTGCCCAGGGGGTCTGGGCTCTTCTGGTATTTGGCACGCACGGCATCCAGCCGCACTTGCTCAGCTCAGGGGTATTTTCCACCGCATCCGGCATAGCATTTCCCTCCGATGGCAGTCCTGCTTAAGTCCCTAACTTCTTGTAAGGAAACCTCAGAGTTGGGGTGATGGTGGTGATCCTTCCTGCGGCTCTCCGGGGTGGGGGTGACAGCGGCCCGGAAAAAAAAAAAATCCCTCATCGGTTGTTTCTCTCTCTCTCTGGTGTGAGAGAGTCTGGGGCTCTTCTTCCCGGCTGGCTCGCTCTCCCTCTCCCGCTTCTGCTCCTCGGCCCCTCTCTCCTGCTCCCTCTCCTCGCTCCGAACTGAATTTCTTGATATAACTCTCAATAAGCCCACTGGGAGGGCGTGACGGCCCAGGCCCCGCCCCCGGCGCCTGATTGGCCCGCGTCCTGCGGTGCGGCAGCCGCGCGCGAGGGAGGGAGGGCGGGCGGGCGGGGGCGCCGCGCAGGGAGGGCGCAGACTGTCTCCCTTTCCTGGGCGCCCCCCTCGGCCGCCGCGAAAACGCGGAGAGCCGATCCCGGCCCCGGGAGAGCGGGCTCCCGGCGGCGCACGGAGCATGCCCGGCAGGGCCGGCCGGGAGGAGCGGGCGGCGCCTCCGCGCGCTCCGGGGCGGCGATCGCCCGCCGATCCCGGCGGCCTGGCTGGCGAGGACGGGCGCAGCCGGGGATCGGCGGGCGGGCGGGCGGGCGGGCGTGCGGGGATGCGGGCGCCGGTCCAGGGCGCCTCGGGCACCGCTGCGGGCGGATGGAGGACGCCGAGGGCACTCCTATCTGGCGCACATCTCCTTTTCCAAATGGAGGGGCCAACATGCAAAGAGGGGAGTCCACCCGGAGTCCGAGGCCGGCGGGAGATGTAGGGTCACCCCTTCGGACGGGAGTACGGGCCGGCCGGTCTCCGGGGCGCGTCGGACAGACAGCACGCCCGGTGATGCTGGCAGGGACCTGGCCAGAAGGGCGGACGGAGGGGGACGGGTAGCGAAAGGTCCGGGCAGGGAGTCTGTGGGTCTCAGTGGAGACCGGGAAGAAAATGAACTAGAGCCTTTCTGGCCTGCTGGGTGACGGGAGCGGGCGGGGAGAAGGAGAACGGCAGCCTTGGGGGTCCCCAGATGGGCCCTGGCCAGCCGGGTGCGGCGCGAAGTCTCCGCTGCGGGCGCCGCTGCGCTCCGGCTGCTGCGCTCCTGCTCCGCCGCGCGGGAGCCAGGGAGCCCGGCTGCCCCGACCCGCGGCCGCGGCACAGCCGCTGCCAGCTCACTTAGCTGCAAACTTTGCCTGCGAAAGGCTGGAAGGAGTCTCATCCAGCTGCTTCCCCAGGCTGCGCACCCTTTCCTTTCCCCTGGCACTTTCTGCTGATTCCAACTTTACGCGTAATGCTTCTCTTTCCTTGTGCAAGTCGTGTCTCTGACTCCTTGTGTAGCGTATACCCACACGTTTTTCATTTTCATGCAAGTGCAGGATGGAATGACTCCCCGAAGGGATTAGCTTTATTTTTTAAATAGTGGCCCCGAATACTAAAACTAGATTTTCTCTCTGTATGACTGATCTTTAAAAGCAGTAATCCACAAGGTTTGCGGAATGGGTTGTTACCAAAAGGATATATGCAAGAGTAAAGTTTGAGGCTTTGATAATAGTTCACTTGGAACAAACATTTTATTTTATTTTATGTTTTATTTTTGAATGACCTATAAAGATTGTCTGAGAAGGTCGTAATGTGTAATTGAATAACTGGTTCTAATGTACAGGAAGAATAAAGGGCACTTATTTTAAATTTCCGTGTTCCCCATTCTGTGCTGAGCTGTGGATGGATGCATTGATGGCTCTTCACACAGTTCTGCACTATGAAGGCATGTGCAAAGATATCTCTTAGTTTCTGAATAAAATGGTTTTCTTTTTATGAACACTTATTTTTAGATACTTAAGTTAAAATGTAAAAATATTATCACCAAGCAAACCCACCAAACTTAAATATTGCATAATTTCACTATTTAACCAACTCTGACATTACGATGTTCCCACATCAATGACTATATGTATCTTTTCCTGAGGTCAATGTTCATGGCAAAATTCAGTGCCTAATGTGCACTAAAATAGGTTAATCTCAATGAGAAATATAAAACAGGTTTTCTGAAGGCAATAGATTGATAAAGCTTTCTAAATAGCCAAAAGTCCTCTCAAATCATAATAGTAGCACTTTGTATGGTTAGAGTATACAAAATTTAAGAATAAAAATGACTGCTTAAGTATTTAAAATTATTAAAAAAAAAAAGTTACCTGATAGAACAATACTAGTGAATTAAAGGAAGCTTCTTTTATCTTAACTCTGAATGATCATTTTGCCATTCACAAAAATGTACAATTAGAACTAGTGCATTGTTCCAGTTGACACCTATTTTATGCTCTGAACTTGTTTAAAATAACAAGAGAACCATCATTTTGATACATTTACAATAAACAGCAGCACAGCCACTTTCCAGTTCACTTCTTATGCATCACAGTTATCTCACATTCTTATGCTAATCATACTATAGTCATTTTCAAAGTCATGTTGCAATCACAGCATATAACTTAGCAATAATTAATATTACTACTAAACAGAATTATTTCTGTGTGCTAAGGGGTAGCTTTACTAGTAGTCAGAACTCATTACTATCGTATGCTCATAAATGAAATCTTAGTATGAACACAGATGAAGGTTAAGGAGGGAAAAAAATCGTATGATTACATTTATGACCATGAGACTTCAATTACAGAAACCAAAGGTCAAAGCCCCCGAATGAGGTCCATCTCTAGACTCATTAAAGGAGGTTGGCTATAATACAGAAACAGAGCTTCAGTGCATTCTGTCATTTAGGTGTTTATTTGGCACACCTAAATTACTGGAATTCTTTAATCATACTAGTTTTATCTCTTAAAGCTAGAATGGTTGAAACTTATTGTTTGCCCTATTATATTCCAACTGCTAAACTCTAGAATGAGAACTATTATTAAAGATCTTATTCATATTCAGGAAGAAAATTAAATATAAAGGGTCATATTTCTAACACTCTGCTATCATAACTTGAGGCTTCTGCCCAGACATCTATATAAAACATTTCCATAATGAGAGCTGCTCACAATTCACCTCCTCTACCTTATTTTTTAAAAGTTACATCTACATGATTATGTATTAGAAAATCCTATTGAGCATAAATTTTAATTTTTGTAGGAGGCTATCTATTGGTTTTGATGCATTTTAATCACTTTTTTTCCTTCAGTGAATTTAATAAAATATTTGATTTCCAATTATGTGACTTCCAGTATAGATCTTCCAGT